TCTCAAACTTTTTTTCATAATTGAATCCAGATCAAACAAATATACATCACCCAGCAAAGTATTTCGTTACATTTTTAGCCAAGCACTTACAGCCATCATGTTACCCAACAGCTCCAACTCTCTCAGTTTGGCTCCCCTAAACTTCCAGTGCAGTACAGCATAACAAGGGAGAGCACGGACTCCAGCACCCGTCAATCTACTAACTTGGAGAAGGGAGGGAGCAGGGAAGTGCCTGTGTGTTTGTGGAGACACGCACAGCTTACTAGTACAGACAAGGGTGACTGCATAGGATCTTGCAAGGGTAAGGAGCCCCCCTAATACAGGATATTAGTTCTCAGGGGACTGGCTGATTCTCCAGGAAGCTAAAACTTTTAAACATCAATAAGCAGCATCTATTGTAAGTGATTTTATCAGCATTTGAAATAGCTTCAAAACCTTTAGACTTTAATATCACTTTTTTCATTTAGACATTTCTGTATTCAAGCATGCCACCCTGCTCGCTTTAGTCAGTTGCCTGGTGATCCGGGAACCCCTTTTGCTGACCTGTATGTAATGAAGGAGAGGAACAATCCCACTGCAGGCTCCATTAATTTTTTTCACATATTCTAGTCTTGGATAGAGTAGGGAAGGTTTATGCCGTCTGTCAAGTATTTAGATGTCTGTGTCCTGGTTGGGGAGATGGTGCTAAGTCACAGACGCTGCAAGTTATTGGCGCGTTGGCGGCCAGGGGCACCCCGAGGCCAGGTGTCACCCGGCACGGAGACCAGGTGACACCCCGGCGTGACGTCATCACGAATGCGTGTGACGTCACCACGCACGTGCGCAATGACGTCATCGTGCACGCCCGGTCATCTCATTGATGCCTGCCGGCTGCCATCTTGGTGGGCGACGCCGTCAGAGAGAGGAGGGGACGTTCACCCGGCGGGATGAGGTATGCCACCGGGTCCCCTCTTCTCTCCTGACAACTGTCGGGCTCTCGGCCCATGACCGAATGCTCAACTTTTTAGAGGGGGGTGACACCAAAATGACTTTCAGTCATTTTGGTGTCACCCCTCCAATGGTGTCACCCGGGTGCAGGTCGCACCCCCATTGTGATGCCACTGCTGGCAACTTCTTCATTTTGCCTGGATCTGCAATGCCTCCACTGCCACTGCACCCACCTTAAAGCTGAACTCTGGGCAGATATAGAATAAACAGATGAATGCAGCTCTTGCTTTAATGCAAGCAGTTGGCATCAGCCACTTGCAGTCCCTGTGCATCAGACAGGGGGAGGGAGAAGCAGCACAAGGAGCCAGTCAGTTGTGTTGCTGATAGGAGGAGGGATCAGGGAGACAGAGAGATGTGCTCCATATTCAGGAGCTTGTGTGTGTTATTTAACTGCAGCAGAGAAATATCATGTCTTCTTACCAGGTAGGGCTGCGCTCTGTGGCAGAGTTATGTAAATCTCAGAGCCGGATGAGTAGAAACACAAATCCTTTGGCAGGTTCCCGTCTATGTATTTCATCTGTGTATTTAGTTCAGCTTTAATCCGGGGGCTTGTGTACATAAATGACTCTATCTTAATCCAGCAAGGGAGAGTAATTTTGTCTTGACCTTTGTCATTGGGACATAAGTTGCTAGTGTGCTATGACTAAGACCCGGTATTTGGGCTAAAATGCATCAGCACTTCTGTTTGCTTGCTGTTTTTTATCTGCCAAGAATAAGTAAAGTATCAGAGATTATAAAGGATCTTTTCCGCGTGCCGTCACTTGCTGAATATAGGGACAAAAGTAATGGGAAATCCAAAGTTTACAGTTGTCACCAGAACAGTGTCACATGCTATAAAAATGGTCCATATAGTGAGCTTGGTGCCAAATTATTTACGTTAAGGTCACTGCAAACGACAAGGGGGCACTCTTTGCTTCTGGAGCAAAAGAGGTTTAAACTTTGCATACAGAGAGGCTTCTTCACAGTAGGGTTGTGAAAATGTGGAATAGACTCCCCCAGGAACTAGTTCTAGCGAGCTAAAAAAAAATCTGGATCTATTCCTAAATGCACAGAATATTACTGGATATTGAGTTCTTATAGGTATATTAAAGTAAAACTATGGGGTCAGGGCTTTTCCCCATAGCTCTCCTTAGGATAACGGGAGGACACAAACTAGCGTCCTCCCAAATGACAGCTGGCTCCGCCTATCTAGCCTATCTAAAAAAAATAATAATATTTTTTTAGTTTCACTTTTAACTGCCTCCCGGCCGGCCGTTGTACTTACACGAGCTGAAAAACGAGCATAAAAAAAAACGCTCAGGTGTGTGATTTTTCCTGCGTCTCCTATTTTGCATTTTTTCTTACATGAATTCTTGCTCCTTTTTATCTGTTTTTTGGAGACGTGTCATTTTAATTCAAAGAAATTAATTAGTTCAAGGTTACCCACATGCACTGCATTAGGACTCCGCTGGGATGTTGTGTTTGCTTTCTTTGTAGCAGATAAAAAGTCATTTTCAGCTATTAAAAAGGAAAAATACATGCGAATACAGATCAGTCAAATAAAGCAAATCAGATATGAACAAGATAAAAAGAAAAGGTCATTGATTGTATGTTTGGCTAAGTAATCCACTCATTTTCAACCCACCTGAAGTTATCCAGCTGCACTCCAACAAAAATTAAAATGCTGGTAACTTTATTCATATGGACAAAATGAACAGTCCCCACCTGGGACTTCATACCCTACGAGCCCATGCCGATGTTGGCAGTCTATCTTTCATGAGGGTGTGTATAGGGAGAACTAATGACCCCTGCTGAATCGCATTGTTAGATGCCTTTTGTATCAAGGTCAGCCATTTTATGAAGAGATCTACTGTATGCAATATGTTATATACTTATGTAAGGATGACATTTTACAGTACACATGTTTACAAGGTTTGAAGAGGATTTCCAGTAGACTGTAAGCTGCGGAAAAATTCGGTTTGGTTCGGATATTTCGTTATTTCGGGATTTGAATCTGAAATTCAATTCGGTTCGGGTTTTGGATTTGCACAAAATCCAAATTTTCGTTCCAAAGTTTCGGATGAGTTTGCGAATATTCGTTGTGAATACCACAGAAAACCATATACCGACATTAATACTAAAGCTGAATCTTCCAGACCCGAATGGTATTCGGGATCCGAATTTCTGAATTGCATTTGCGAGCTCCTGAATGACATTCGGGTCTGGGAGCCATAGACATATATTACTAAAGCTGAAGCTCCCAGACCCGAATGGCATTCTGGAGCTCCCCAAATGATTCTGGGAGTCATTTACATATATTACTAAAGCTGAGGCTCCCAGACCGGAATGGCATTCTGGAGCTCCCGAAAGCAATTTGGAAATTCGGATCCCGAATGCCATTCGGGTATAGGAGCCTCAGCTTTAGTATTATATGTATATACTGTATGTGGCTCCCATGTTGCCATAACGAAAATCCTTGTTCAGACCCATTCGGATGCATTACACTGAAAAACATATCTGATTGGCCAGAAAAGTCACGTCTGATCCAGTTTTGTTTTTGAACAAAATTCGGACGGGATCCGAAATTTGTAAACGGAAATTCGGATTCGGACACATTCGGATGCATTGGGATTCAGAAATTCGGATGTGCTCGAATGTCGGAATTTTGGAAAATTTGTCCGAATTTTGATTTGGAACAAAACAAATTGCACATGTCTAATTTCCACACACATCAGTTGATGCCTCAGGTCATGTCTTGATGAAGGTTGTGAAGTCATCTATACCCACCTACCAGCCTTATTTTGGAGAACCCATCTGGTGGTCACAAGTGAACATGGACTTATGTAAGGTTTGATGATTGGATAGTTATGAAGTAATCAATTACAATTAACCAATAATGTATTCACTGATCTTAATCTGAAATTGTATGAGAGCAATATATGATCAATTGAAGTGGGGATTCTTTGAATTATAAGCAGAAACCCCCCGACCCCTCCCAGGACGTGTGTGTCAGACAAACCCTTATCTGATTTGGAGCTACTCACAGACATTGTTGGCTTGTTAGTGGAAATGATCACTCGGGTGGCCCGAATTAGGGCTTGGGAGCAGTATACTCCATACTTTTGCCAAGAAATCAAATACCTTCAAACTCAAAAGTAATGGCAATGACACTTAACCGGCTCAAAACAAGCTGAGTAATAGAGCCATAGATGTCATTGTACAACATGTGATTATCACACATGCTACAATGACATAACAGCGGTAAAACTCCTGGAATATCTCAATGAATGATAATGGTACATTGTTAACCGAGATTCAGACAGAGACTGGTTTACAAAAACTGGAACAAAGGAAGTTAAACAGAATGCCTGCCAGTAGAAACCACATGACACCTTCTAACTTGCACTGGTAAATATATGCATTTTTAGATGGCCCCAATGGGTTTAGTACCACTTTTTTTCTCCAATTTCCATGAAGAAAGCATGAATGAGGAACAAACGTAGGTTGCATAGCCAGGACAAACCGGAGGCAGTCTGTAGATGAGGTGGCTACATAACCTTTCTTTTTTCAGGCTAAGAACTTTTTCAGCAAGTACAGAACATAATCTTGCCGGAAATGCAGCGTCATTGCCAGTTCGTGTGAGCTAAAAAGAAAGCATGAACCATCCTATTTTTCTTGTGTGAAATACAGGTCTCATCAAGCCACCATGTAATAGAGATGAACAAAGGCATACATGTTAGAAGTCCAGCCTGGGAGACAACCATAACTCTCCCCTAACAGATACAGTGGAGAAATGAATGAAACCATGAAGGGACAGGAAGCGCATTATTCACAGGATCACCAGGTGAAAATAAAGGGAAAAAGGGCTAAAAAGCAGAAAATTAATGCAGTCACCATATGCAATTATTTATGATGTAGAGTGATTTATCAAACAAAATGTCTTCAGTTAGGATTTAGACATATGTTATCAAAACTGTGGTTGACATACAGTATATATGTTGACAAAGAATTCTTCTGATTTGTCTATCCATTGCCTATGGAGAGAGTGGAGCCCTGTAAGACCTAGCAGCTGGGTTTTCCAGTGTCCCTCCAACCTTCTCATTGAAGTCATTGGCAATATATCTGCTGTAGGGATCGAGCTCATCTGTGTGTTTCTGTCTCTTTGATCTGGTGGTGCTCACCAAGACAGCCACAACAATGAAGGAGAACATGCCGATCATCACCATAAGGTAGAGGATGACGTAGTTGAAGTTCTCTTCCTTCATGATGTTCCGAATCTTGGTTTTGGCTATCGACCCATTGTTCTTCCAGCTGTTCATGTAATCTTCCAAGATTCTCTTAAAGGCATTTTCAATGGTCTGTGTGAAGTTTGAGCTTACATACATGTCTATAGATTCTTTAAGGGAACACAAATAGTTATGTATTATGGCAGAGCCAATCACAGCAAAAGCATGCTATACAATTCCTATGAAAAGCAAGTTTTTTTGAAAAGCAAATGTTTTATTGTCATAGAACACAAACACAGTGAATCCAATCTTGTTTTGTTTTGTCTTTTGAAATTGATCAAAACAAAAGAAATATACTTATTTAAATTAAAAAAGAGTAAAATCATAAAAGTAAAAAAGTCATAAAAGTAGACCTCAACAAGGCAATTTCAAATTATTAAACATAAAAAGACCCCCAAAAAAGCCAATGTCATAAATACTGTATAACTTGCCAATAAGGTAGTATTGGTAGGAATCAAAGCCTTAAAGGAGAACTATGAGGTGAGTGCTTTTCACTCACCTCATAGTTCTAGCCGAGCTGTGACAATGAGACTGTTGCAGGATTCGGATTCGGACACATTCGGATGCATTGGGATTCAGAAATTCGGATGTGCTCGAATGTCGGAATTTTGGAAAATTTGTCCGAATTTTGATTTGGAACAAAACAAATTGCACATGTCTAATTTCCACACACATCAGTTGATGCCTCAGGTCATGTCTTGATGAAGGTTGTGAAGTCATCTATACCCACCTACCAGCCTTATTTTGGAGAACCCATCTGGTGGTCACAAGTGAACATGGACTTATGTAAGGTTTGATGATTGGATAGTTATGAAGTAATCAATTACAATTAACCAATAATGTATTCACTGATCTTAATCTGAAATTGTATGAGAGCAATATATGATCAATTGAAGTGGGGATTCTTTGAATTATAAGCAGAAACCCCCCGACCCCTCCCAGGACGTGTGTGTCAGACAAACCCTTATCTGATTTGGAGCTACTCACAGACATTGTTGGCTTGTTAGTGGAAATGATCACTCGGGTGGCCCGAATTAGGGCTTGGGAGCAGTATACTCCATACTTTTGCCAAGAAATCAAATACCTTCAAACTCAAAAGTAATGGCAATGACACTTAACCGGCTCAAAACAAGCTGAGTAATAGAGCCATAGATGTCATTGTACAACATGTGATTATCACACATGCTACAATGACATAACAGCGGTAAAACTCCTGGAATATCTCAATGAATGATAATGGTACATTGTTAACCGAGATTCAGACAGAGACTGGTTTACAAAAACTGGAACAAAGGAAGTTAAACAGAATGCCTGCCAGTAGAAACCACATGACACCTTCTAACTTGCACTGGTAAATATATGCATTTTTAGATGGCCCCAATGGGTTTAGTACCACTTTTTTTCTCCAATTTCCATGAAGAAAGCATGAATGAGGAACAAACGTAGGTTGCATAGCCAGGACAAACCGGAGGCAGTCTGTAGATGAGGTGGCTACATAACCTTTCTTTTTTCAGGCTAAGAACTTTTTCAGCAAGTACAGAACATAATCTTGCCGGAAATGCAGCGTCATTGCCAGTTCGTGTGAGCTAAAAAGAAAGCATGAACCATCCTATTTTTCTTGTGTGAAATACAGGTCTCATCAAGCCACCATGTAATAGAGATGAACAAAGGCATACATGTTAGAAGTCCAGCCTGGGAGACAACCATAACTCTCCCCTAACAGATACAGTGGAGAAATGAATGAAACCATGAAGGGACAGGAAGCGCATTATTCACAGGATCACCAGGTGAAAATAAAGGGAAAAAGGGCTAAAAAGCAGAAAATTAATGCAGTCACCATATGCAATTATTTATGATGTAGAGTGATTTATCAAACAAAATGTCTTCAGTTAGGATTTAGACATATGTTATCAAAACTGTGGTTGACATACAGTATATATGTTGACAAAGAATTCTTCTGATTTGTCTATCCATTGCCTATGGAGAGAGTGGAGCCCTGTAAGACCTAGCAGCTGGGTTTTCCAGTGTCCCTCCAACCTTCTCATTGAAGTCATTGGCAATATATCTGCTGTAGGGATCGAGCTCATCTGTGTGTTTCTGTCTCTTTGATCTGGTGGTGCTCACCAAGACAGCCACAACAATGAAGGAGAACATGCCGATCATCACCATAAGGTAGAGGATGACGTAGTTGAAGTTCTCTTCCTTCATGATGTTCCGAATCTTGGTTTTGGCTATCGACCCATTGTTCTTCCAGCTGTTCATGTAATCTTCCAAGATTCTCTTAAAGGCATTTTCAATGGTCTGTGTGAAGTTTGAGCTTACATACATGTCTATAGATTCTTTAAGGGAACACAAATAGTTATGTATTATGGCAGAGCCAATCACAGCAAAAGCATGCTATACAATTCCTATGAAAAGCAAGTTTTTTTGAAAAGCAAATGTTTTATTGTCATAGAACACAAACACAGTGAATCCAATCTTGTTTTGTTTTGTCTTTTGAAATTGATCAAAACAAAAGAAATATACTTATTTAAATTAAAAAAGAGTAAAATCATAAAAGTAAAAAAGTCATAAAAGTAGACCTCAACAAGGCAATTTCAAATTATTAAACATAAAAAGACCCCCAAAAAAGCCAATGTCATAAATACTGTATAACTTGCCAATAAGGTAGTATTGGTAGGAATCAAAGCCTTAAAGGAGAACTATGAGGTGAGTGCTTTTCACTCACCTCATAGTTCTAGCCGAGCTGTGACAATGAGACTGTTGCAGGTCGGCTCAGTAGATCGGGAGGCGAGCGAACACATACCGGCGTTCGCTCACCTCTCGATCCTGTCACGGCTCTCTGCCGTGACAGGGGAGGGGCTGGATTCCCCCCTCCCCGCTCCGATCCGCCAGCACTGACTGGCGGAAAGGACGGGCGAGGGGGCGGGTACAGCTTGCTCTGCCTCTAGATAGGCAGAGCCAGCTGTCACTCACGCAGCTGGACGGATCTCGACATCGATGTCGAGATCCGCTCCAGCTGCGGCGTCTCAGTATACCGCAAATTACAGCTTGCGGTATACTGAGCTTAGGGTGACGGGAGGACGCTAGTTTGTGTCCTCCCGTTACCCTAAGGAGAACTATAGGGAAAAGCCTTAACCCCATAGTTCTCCTTTAGGTGTGGGTGAACAGGTTTTTATTAGTTTTGCACATCTAGAAACTTGAATTTTCTCCATTCCCCTTTGCAAAACTGCTTAGGCTCTGTCAGATTACACAGAGATCATGAATAAACAGGCTATATCAAGTCCAGCCAAAGGTTTTCTTTAGGATCGAGCTCTTGACACTGACTTCTAGAGAACATTGTTGCTTTGGGGATGGGGGTGGATTAGTAGAACCGTGGTCAGGTTTTTATTACTGCTTGTGCTCTTTCTTGGACTGCTTTGACAGTTCACCTAAAGAGTATTTTGGATAGTGTAGGGAAGGGTTAGAAACATTATCAGGAGACCACATCTTAAAGACACAACAGGAATTGATAGGGATGGCAACACAGACAGCATTAAAAACCTGACAGAGGTATTAGTGCTTCCATGTTCTATCCTAAATTAAAAAATATACAGGTGAAACTCGAATAATTAGAATATCGTGCAAAGTTAATTTATTTCACTAATGCAACTTAAAAGGTGAAACTAATATATGAGAGAGACTCATTACATGCAAAGCAAGATAATTCAAGCCGTGATTTGTCATAATTGTGATGATTATGGCTTACAGCTCATGAAAACCCCATGAACCCCAAATCCACAACCTCAAAAAAGTAGATTATTACATGCAATCAATAAAACAAGGATTGTACATAGAACAATATCGGACCTCTGAAAAGTACAAGCATGCATATGTACTCAGTACTTGGTTTGGGCTCCTTTTGCAGAACTTACTGCAATTGCTTTTGAACCATATTCTAATTATTCGAGTTTCACCTGTATATATTTGGTAGAATTGTACTTTTTATTTCGAATGGTGCAGTAATTTCATGACCTGATCTCAGATCATCTACATACTGTAAGTGTGTATTTTTACCCACTATATAAATATACATTTACCAGGCACTTTATTAGGAACACTATATTACAGCATTTTTCAACCAGGGTTCTGTGGATCCCTAGGGTTTGCTTCAGAGAGTGCTCGGGTTTTCTTAATCAAGACATCATTTCTGTTTCTCAGTACATCAATTATCTTTTCTGTCTGTACAGCACTGATGAGCAATGTAAGGGGATCCGTCTTCCACTGATTAATAACATGTCCTTCTCCCAATAGTCACCAATGTATGGGACCACTACAGTGACCACCAATGTAAGAAAACAATTATACACTGACCACCAATATGCAGGAACATTTCTCTGCTGATCACCAATGTACAGGGGCATTTTTCCACTGACCACCAATGTACAGGGGCATTTTTCCACTGACCATCAATGTACAGGGGCATTTCTCTGCTGATCACCAATGTACAGGACAATTCTCCACTGACCATCAATGTACAGGGGCATTTCTCTGCTGATCACCAATGTACAGGACAATTCTCCACTGACCATCAATGTACAGGGGCATTTCTCTGCTGATCACCAATGTACAGGACAATTCTCCACTGACCATCAATGTACAGGGCATTTTTCCACTGACCACCAATGTGCAGGGACATTTCTCTGCTGGCCACCAATGTACAGGGACATTTCTCTGCTGGCCACCAATGTGTTGGGACATTTCTCCACTGACCATCAATGAAAGGTGACATTTCTCCACTGACTACCAATGTCCAGGGAAAGGTATTCACTGTCCACCAATGTAAAGGGGTGCTACAACTTCCACTGTCCGTGTGTCTTTTCTGGTCATTCTTATTTCATAATTATTTGTGAAAATAATTTTGTGTTATAGAGCAGTAGGCGTTAAAGTTTTATTTGCTGGGTAAAAACACTGGGCATGCCACAGTCCTAATTCTTGTATTTACTGTATTATTATATCTACTACTTACTCAACACAGTAATGCACCATGACCCGTAGATGTATATATTTAGTAGGGCTTCCCTGAGACTTAAAAATAATTAAAGGGTATCCCTGAAAAG